GCGCCTCTCCGTGACCCGACCCGTGGCTGTGCATGCAGGGCAGGCAGGGGGGGGGGGGAGGAGGAGGAAGTTGGATGGGGGAGTCTTAGCATAAATGGGGGACCTTTAAGTGTACATGGGGCACCAGGTGGGTGCAGCTGCCCCTCGTGGGTCGGGGGGGGGCGTTTGGATGTGCAGGTTGGGCCGCTTGTGGTGGCGAATTGCAGCGCGTTGGCAGGGAGCAGGGGCGCGTCCTGGAGGGGTGTTGAAGCAGGTGGCGAATTGCAGCGTGTTGGCAGGGAGCGGGGGCGCGTCCTGGAGGGGTGTTGAAGCAGGGGTGTGGGCAAGTCTTTGAGGCCGAGTCTTTGGCACCAAGACCTGAGTTCGAATTTGAGTCTTTGTCACCAAGACCCGAGTCTGACGTTCGAATTTGAGTCTTTGTCATCAAGACCCGAGTCTGAGTCTTTGTCACCAAGACCCGAGTCTGAGTCTTTGGCACCAAGACCTGAGTCTTTCGCACCAAGACCCGAGTCCGAGTCTTTATCACCAAGACCAGAGTCCGAGTCTTTGTCACCAAGACCCGAGTCTGAGTCTTTGCCACCAAGACCCGAGTCCGAGCCTTCGTCACCAAGACGTGAGTCCGAGCCTTTGCCACCAAGACCCGAGTCTGAGTCTTTGGCACCAAGACCTGAGTCCGAATCCGAGTCTTTGGCACCAAGGTCTGAGTCTTTGACACCAAGACCTGAGCCTTTGTCACCAAGACCCGAGTCTGTGTCTTTTTCACCAAGACCTGAGTCCGAGCCTTTGGCACCAAGACCCGAGTCTGAGTCTTTGGCACCAAGACCTGAGTCTTTGTCATCAAGACCCAAGTCTGTGCCTTTGTCACCAAGACCTGAGTCCGAGTCCGAGCCTTTGGCACCAAGACCCAAGTCCGAGACTTTGGCACCAACACCCAAGTCTGAGTCTTTGGCACCAAGACCTGAGTCTGATTCTTTGGCACCAAGACACAAGTCCTAGTCTTTGGCACCAAGACCTGAGTTGGAATCTGAGTCTTTGGTACCAAGACCCAAATCCAAGTCTTTAGTACCAAAACCCGAGTCCAAATCCGAGTATCAAAACCAACTCCCCAACCCCAAGTCCAAGTTCCTATTAAAAACAAGCTTTATCCCCAGAAAAAAAAGGGGAAGGGTGGGTGGGTGGTTCCAAGTCACAAACTGAGTCTGAACCACTGGGAAAAAGAAAAAGGGTTGAGCCACTGGTGTGACTTAAATTGGACTTGACCTTGAGCCCCCCCCCCCGATTTGAATCCCCATCCCTGCAGTTGGGTGTATGACCAGGCCTGTGGCTGAGACCTGTCCGGGAGGGGGGGAGAATCCATCCCCCACCACTGATGCCCAAGCAGACCCACTCACTTGCACCTCATGTGATGTCCTTGGGTAGGGTGAGAATCAAATGTAAACTGGCCTACCTAACAGATACGTGTAAGGTGATTTGATTCAGCATAACACGGGATAGGTTGTTAGCAGGCTGCTGTGCTCACAGGAGGCCCAGTGGGGGAACCAAACTCCCAACCTCCGGCTCCACAGGCAGAGACATGAACCACTGACCAATACAGCCAGTGTAGGCAACTCTAAAGAGGAAGAATCATTGAAGGGCTGTGTTCCTACTTAAACAGGACAATCAGAGGCAATCAGTCGGTTCCTACTTAAACAGAGCTTAAACAGGACAATCAGAGGCAATCAGTCAATGTGTATGTGCATGCGTGTGTCTATCAATGAGTCTGTAAACTATATACACATATATGTCCATGCATGTATGCGTTTATGTCAGTTGTGTGTGTCAAGTAACGCATACTGATATGTTAAATGGGCATGTAGATTGAAAGTATGTGTCATCTTGTTGAAATGGGAGCTCGGTCAGAACTAATTCAATTCTCATTGATTTCAGTGGATTTGCTCTTTAATATAACTCTGCCTGGATCCAGCTCATTTGTTTACATAAAGCAGCACAATGCAGGGTTAACATACCAAAAATAAAGATAGTAGACTAGTGTTTGGCTGGTGGCTCAAAAATAGCAACACAGGAGCTATTTTTAAGGTTAATATCACAGCTAGAAATAGCCCATCCATTAGCTATACTGTCTGAAGTTCAACCACATCTAATGATCCTTTTTCAAAAGCCACTTGCTTTGGTGAGTCCTTCCTCCCGCCACTTGTCTCTATAGCACATAATTTTGTCTTGTTAAACTGCTGTTGTATTCAAGCTATGAAATTTCACTTCATGTCGCAAAAAGCATTAATATAGTTGTGCCGCCTCTCAGTACTGCTCAGTCTAGGCAGTGGCTTGTTCAAACAAATGAGCTTCACAACCTATGATTTAAAGATGGCTTGCTCTGGCAAACAGTAGTTATGACTGATCATAGTTTGTCAGCTTCAAATTTCATGACAAGCTGCAATGATTATTTAAAAAAACTATTAAAAAACAAGCAGTGCTTCATCTATGCAGAAAGGGTTAAGGAACAAGCAGGACTGAGGATCACTATGTTTCCTAAAGGCTAAATTATGGTTCAGATTTGCATGCAAAGCAGCTCATTAAATTGTATCTATTTCAGTTTTGGCATATTTTAGTAAGCAAAATTACAGATGCTTAGTCATGTTAGTAGTTTACAAGATCAAGTATGTGGAGTTAACGTATGTGGAGTTAAAGCCTTAAACACCCTATTAAAACAAATGGATTATAGGACCAGATCTTAAGAGTGGACCATGGTTAAACCTAAAATAACTTAGAGAAGTTGTTGCCTATGTGTGGTGAGAAGGGGCTGACCTCTGTTATTACCTTTCTCTTTCCTTTGGTGTCGTGTAATTCACATTGTGCTTTCGTTCTGCAAATGACAACAAGAGAACAAAGCAAGGAAGACAGATTTAGGCTTTGCCATCCACATCCTAGCCATGTTGGCTACAGCTGATGAAACATCAGAGGACCTGCCAGTGAGAGATGTAGGCCTGGGTCTTGGAGGGCTGCAAGGTTGGTAAGGCTTTCTACAAATGTTGATCAACCGGCTTCTTTAGAAACATAAATTTCTTGGGGTGAATTTAAGGAAATTGTATCTATACAGTACCGCGTTTGAACTGGACACCCTGGTAAAAATAAAGTCTGAAGCAGATGTACTTGACCATATAATCAGAAGAAACAGAGCTATTTCCAGTGCTACATGATTGCACATATTTGGTTGAGTTCTGGTGGGACCCTTAAGAAGAGCAGTGGTAGGAACACCAGAGTGCCGGGAAGTGCTTTTAGCATCATGAATTCTCATTCTCTCTGTGATTAGCAGCCATAGCCATTGTGTAAAGGGTGCGGAACCAACTGGGTCTTTGGTTTGACCAATTAATGAGGTTCTTTGAGCCAGTAATCTATTGCTAATTTCAGCTAGAGAATAGATCCTGTCACCGAAATTCTGTTGCTTAGCATAGTAAGTTGCAGCTAGAATAGGCCCATTTGAATCAATGGCACCTAGGGGTTGGCTCACCAAATTCCCATTGATTCAGTCAGTCTACTCTTCTGTTACTGTGCAATCACTGAATCAATTGCCGGATGGAAAATCAACACCTACATCTGTTGCTGAGTCACTTCAGGATCTTGTTACCTTCAGGGGTGGGAGTGGGTCCCTTCCTGTCACTTTCTCCCTGTTTTATAGAATCAGCAACAGCCCAGAACATGAAGGCTCGGCAGGCCGTTTCCCGCATCAGCCGAGAGGAGCTGGAAGACCGGTACCTCCGCATGCACGAAGAGAACATCTTACTCAAGCAGCATGGTCGCAAACAAGAGGATAAAATTAAAAGGTCTGATTCCCTCCTCCTCTTCTGAAATACGGCTTCTAAAGCAGCCTGTCTTGAAATGGTGCTCTCCAGATGTGCAGAGGTACAGTCCCCACCACCTCCAGCCAGTACCAGGATTATCCCCTTGGAGAAGGCTGTTATTCCAAAACAGTGGTTCCCAACCTTGGGTCCCCAGATACTCTTGGACTACAACTCCTAGAAGCCTTCACCACTCGCTGTGCTAGCCAGGATTTCTGGGGGTTGTACTCCAAGAACATCTGGGGAACCAAGGCTGGAAAGCACTGCTCCAAAACAGAGATTTGGCAGATATGCCAAAGGATGGTACCCAATGGACACCTGTATTGCCTCTTGAACTGTTCACTTTCACTTCATGTCAACTAGGAGAATCTTGATACATAACGCTGTATCCCGGGTGCAGTTTCATAGGGCTTCCGTCATTTGTGCCCATTACAGCTATCGGCCCTTGCATATGTCTTTCTTTTATAAAAACAGAGTTCCTGTGTTTCTTCTGCACATCTTGAGTGCATAGCTCTCAGGCAAGTAGACTTGTTCTGTGACATCTCGAAACTATTACCGTTCTCCTCCCACGCATACACTTTTGTTCTCTCTCTTTTTTATAAAAGTAAAAGGCTTGTGAGCACACTGTGCTAAAATAAAGGAAACTCTTTTAAATGAATGAAGTGTGTCTCTATTTTCAGTCTCCTGTCTGGACCACTGCAAAGAAAAAAAAACCTGACTCCCTGTAAAGTAGATACAGCTCTTGAAGATGTGCGACCAATTTTGTAAAGTCTTGAACTTCTCTCCTCCATCAAAGCCACCTCTCCTTTCTTTTCCTGCCAAGTCCCTCCTTCTTGACCCCCCCCCCCATAAAATTCATTGCTGGAAGTGTTTTCTGCTCTTGTATATTACATCACCCCCACATGCCCTCTCTGTCTTTTGTTCTGGCTTCCCCATGTTTATCAAAACTAAGAAAAATCAAAGGTACAACTCTTGAGATGCCAAAAGCAAAATTTGTATCCTTTTAAAACTAGATGAAAACCATGCCTCCTGCATCCAATTATATCCCACGGCTAACTGTTAAACCCCCTCTTAAGCGCATTGGCATTATTTGCTAAGCATGAGATGTAGCGAGGCGACACGAGCTATTAAGGACCTGCCTTTGAGCCTGCCCACCTACTTGTTTTTAGAACTGAAATGTATGCCTTCTCCCCCCCCCCCTTTTACTCAAACTGGAAGCACTACATCAATAGAATGTGTTACATATTGTAAGCATGCATTAGATAGCTTAATATCATATGGGACGGCAGCTTTTATGCATGGCCCCGCCACATCCCCAATCTGTAGCTGTACTTAACAGCATGCCGAGTTCCTTGGGAAGGTCATGCGTTCCAAATTTGAGCAACATATGGAGTAAATATGTATCCCTCCTTCTTTACTAAACTTTAAATGATAAGCCTTAGGAAACTGTTATTTGTCAGTGCTATAAAGCAGATTGCTACCCAGTGGTTTCAATTATCTTCAAAGGCTTCTTCACAGGCAGTAATAGTTATATCAAAACCTGAAATTTATTATTCAGGTTCTGTACTGAGGTCTTCACAGTGATTATGTGCCTTTCAACAGAAATGCTTTTTTATACTGACTTTTCTTTTCCATCTTTTGTATGTTATTCCCCCCCCTACACCCCGCCACCCCTTGCAGGATGGCCACCAAGTTAATACGGCTAGTGAATGACAAGAAGAGAGCTGAGCAAGCCGGCGGCGGCCCCAAGCGGCTGGGCCACGAGGTCGAGATGGAGGAAGTGATTGAGCAGCTGCAGGAGAAGGTCCGGGAGCTTGAGAAACAGAATGAAGCCATTCGCCACCGGCTGATTTCAACCAAGCAGCAGCTGCAGCTTCAGGGCCACAGGCACGCACCCTACAGTTACGTCCAGGCACGCGTCAACACGGGCCTCAAAAAAGGGACCGAGGGTGTGGGCGCCCAAGGGCACGTAAGGAAAGGTAGTTCCTTTAATTGTGTGCCATTCAAAGTCAATTTTGACTTAACAGCAACGCTTTTTCGGGGTTTTTTAGGTAGAGAATATGCTGGTCAGCTCAGGGATTTAAGTCTCTGTCTGCGGAGCCAGAAGTTGGGATTCCAATCACCCGCCGTGCCTCCTTGTCAGGAGCTGGACTTGATGATCCATAGGGTCTCTTCCAGCTCTGCAGTTCTAAGGTTCATCATTCATTCCCTTCTTCTGGGAGAAGCTTGCCCAAGGCCTCACAGGCTGGCTCTTCTGGAATGCACAGTGGGGGAATCGAACTCCCAACCACTGGCTCTGCAGCCAGATACAGTGGTGCCTCGCTTGACGACATTAATCCGTTCCAGCGAAATCGCTGTAGAGCGAAACCGTCATCAAGCGGGGGAAAAACCCATTGAAACGCATTTAAAATCGCTCAATGCATTCCAATGGGCTAAATACGTAATCGTCCAGCGAAGATCCTCCATAGGGTGGCCATTTTCCAGTGCCTCTCTTGTGAAAAATCCATCCTAAAAACAGCAGGGAACCATTTTGCACAGCAGGCGGCCATTTTGAGAGCCGCTGATCAGCTGTTTTCAGACCGTCATTAAGTGAAAAATCGGTTCCCGAAGCAGGGAACCAATCATCGTTAAGCAAATTTTACCCATTAAAACATCATTTTGGGATCGCAAAAGTGATCGCAAAAACCTCATTGTCAAGCGGATTCATTGTTTAATGAGATAATCGTTAAGCGAGACACCACTGTACTTAACTCACTGAGCTATCCAGCTAGCATTAAGGAAAAATGTGTGGTTTAAATTATTCATTTTAAACATTACCCCTTTGCATAAGGCAGGATCGTACAGAGTGTGCCTTGTGGGCCTCATACTTATTTAGAGAGTCCCCTCACCTCCTTTAGGAAACAAGAGGGAATTCTACTAAACATTTCCGCCCTTCCTGTAGTTGTACTTTAAAAACAAAACATAGGGTGAGCTCTTGGTGTTACTGAGGCTGGTGCTATCTTCCACAATCGAGTCAGGGGCCTCCTGCAGATCTCTGGAGGCTGCCTACCCCAAAAGAAGTTAAAACATCCCATATATTCATTCGCTGCTAACAAAAAAGATTTTCAGTCCTCGTGCAGATGGAACATGTGCCCCAAATCATGACAGAAGAAATCAGCCTGTTTTTCAGTGAAGCAAGTGAAACAAGGTTACATGTAGACTGTCTGGGCATCTCCTGTAAAATTTTCCAAGACACTTTGGTTCAACTCTTAAAAGAAAACCTCCAGCTTCAATGGGGACAAAAAGTATTAATTGACATTGAAGGGGTTAAATCAGGTCTAAGCTTAAGGTAAAGGGACTGGACTACAGTGCCCTACGTATGGTTCATTGTGGCTCTTACATTAATGCCTCAGTTCTTCTTTTCCTTCCTCAGCCCTTGTTAAAAAACACACACAAAAAACAACAACACAACCTGAACCTTGGAAGCAGAATGCAATTATTGTTTGTTTGTTTTTAATGCTATTTACTTGCTCTCTACCTACATAAAAGCTCTGCTTCCCTTAGGTCCCGCCAAATTCAAGGAGGAAGAACTGGTTTTGTGTGTGTGTTTGCCTCTTCAAGAAACAGGAAGGTCTCTGCTCTAGACCAGTGGTTCTTAACGTGGGCGATAATGCCCCCCAGGGGGCGATTTCATTTTTCAGGGGGGCAGTAGAACGAAA